ATTATTATTATTATTATTATTATTATTATTATTAGGTATTATTATTATTATTATTATTATTATTATTATTATTATTATTATTATTATTATTATTATTATTATTATTATTATTATTATTGTGATTATAGTTATTATTATTATTGTTAATATTATTATTTCAATTATTTTTATTGTTATTATTGTCATTGTTGTTATAATTATTTATATTGTTTTTAAATTGCCGAAAACTTTGCGGGGTGTGCGTGAAAAAATTCGCGCACATATGTCTGTGACGTAACTAGCGGAGACATCAGCTGGCGTGTGACGTCGTCATATTGTGCATTTTAAAAATCTTGAGAGGTAGCAAAAAGAGGGGGAGATATACTTAGAGTCTGGGAGGGTGCTCACTATGAGATCAGACCATCAAAAGAATAAGACTGGATATGAGTATATATATATATACATACATTTGGCGAAATAAAGAATAGAAATGAAAGGTGAGGAATTATAAGAGTATATATGTCACACGCGGAGGGTTCCATGTACACGTGGGAAACTGGCACGTGGTACACGCGTACTGACACCTGGAAATTTTTGGCGCATTTATCAGAAATCATGACCTCACCTGCAGGATCATTCCTCTGCATGCATTCGCGTGTCCTAGAAACTATAATCTTTAAATGTACACATGCATATAGAGAGGGGGAATAGAAGAGGGGGAGAAATTATATTTTTGCCCGTGAGAAAATATTTTTTTAAACCATAACTATATAGAGGTAGAATAATTACCTTTCTGTATTATGTAATTATCGATATATCTGATTATCGATCATTATTGTTATAATTATTATATCTGTGTCTGATTATCCAAATCTATATATAATATAAAAAAGTTAATTTGTTAAATTAAATTGATTTCAAAGTATATAATTAACTTCCTATGTTTAAATTAATTTGAAAATAATTAACTGTTGTAATCTAATGTTAATATGATTATTGATTCTTGCATATAATTAACTCCCATAAAAAAGAGAGTTAATTTTCAACCCCGCACGAGTTTCTGTCGTATAAAAATCGAAAACTTTTTGGGGTAAAAAAAGAGGGTTAAAAGGAGTTAAACGAAGAGTTAAAATTTTGACCTTTTTGTGATAAATAAAGAGGGTTAAAGAGAGGGAGTTGAAATAAAAGTCGACTATAAATTAACACTTGAATTATAATTTTTACCTCTCCTTTTGCTCTCTTTGATAAAAAATACTTTTAGAGTTGATTTTGAACTAAAAAATCGAATTTTGGAGAAGTTACAAATAATTGCATAAATTCAATAATTATTTTCAAAATTTTTTATTGTCCTTTACATTGTAACGTATTTTTTAATGAGTGAATATAGCTATCATTATAAATAATGCACGTATAGTGAAATAGATAATGAAATGACCCCTCCGTTATAGCTTTAGTATAGTCATTTCAGAAGAAGAAAATTTTTTTTCAATGTTTAAATTTTTTCTTCTTCTTCGAAGATTAGGTCAATGTTCCCTGTTGCGTATTCACTGTATATATATTTAGAAATATATTAGGACTCATCCTCACTTGAAAATTCAGGGATTATGCTAAATAATTCACAAAAGAGAACGAACCTTTGGAATATTGTAATTAGGTCGTGAATTTGCATCGAGAAACTAAACTACTTGGTCCATTTCTAATGAACTCTTCTGGAATGTTGAGAAGATTCTTCTTAGAATCTTTTTTTTTCTTTTGACCATACGTTTTTCTTAATTTTTTCTATTATTTTCCATCGAGACAATTTTAATATCTGACTTTTTCAGTCTCAAAGTATTTAACTTCTTTTGGAATATAATTCTCGGGTTCAATTCACAAGGTGACACGCTCGAAGGTTAATTAAATTTAAATTACACCCTCGTAGTATGGATATCATCGTATATGGTAAGGGGTCTTCGCTCCATAAGGCGCAACCAGGTGGTTATATGTTTATAGACGCTATCGCTGTGGGAATATTTCATGTGTCGATTATTATTTCTCAATAATGGTTGACTTAACACTGTGTTTTTTATTTAATTAGACTAGAAATGTATCATTAATTGCAGAGATGCAATTTTTATTCATAATTTTTATTTTTTCTTGGCAAAAATAAAATTGTCAAAATAATTTTTATAGAAAATATTTTTGCGAAAATAAATATTCTTGTAAAAATAATTTTTCTAGAAATAATTTTTGCGAAAATAAAAAATTCTTGTAAAAATTATTCCTGTCGAAAATATTCTTGCAGAAAATATTTTTGTACAAAACATTTATATTAGAAAATATTCTTGTAAAAAATGTTTTTGTAAACAATATTTTTGCTAAAAATGTTCTTGTAAAAAGTATTTTTGTAAAATAGTCTTATTCTAAAAAAATGTTTTTGTAAAAAATATTCATGATAAAAATATTTTTACCAAAAAAAAAAATCTTGTAAAAAATTGTTTTTGCAAACAATATTTTTGCTGAAAATGTTATTGTAAGAATATTTTTTTAAAAAGTGTATTCTTGTAGAAAATATTCTGGTAGAAAGTTAATCTTGGAAAAAATATTTTTGTAGAAAATATTTTTGCGAAAATAAATATTTTTGTAAGAAATATAACTGTAGAAAATATTTTTGCAAAAATGAAATATTCTTGTGGAAAAGATTCTTGTATAGAAAGTATTCTTGTAAAAATACTTTTATAAAAAAATTATTTTTTTGCAGAAAATATTCTAGGAAAAATAGTTTTCTAATAACGGACAATAAATTTACGTCAATTATTAAATTGTATAGAAATTATTTAACTATATTTTTAAATGATAATCAAAGATTAAATCCTTTTACGAAATTTGTTTACTTTATTATTAGAATATCGATTACTAAATCATCGTGAGAATAATTGTGATGATTTATCAGGCGTAATTTCCCATATGAGGATAAGTTTTATATAAATAACACCTGGCAAAGTTTATTTGGGATTTATAAATTTTCACCCCTTGAAAAAGTTGAGAACAAATTTTATGGAAGATTTTTGTTTGTTTTATGCACATTATAATATTTTATTTTGACATTTTACTATATCATATTTATCATATAACTTTATCAACAGTTTTTTCGTTTGAAATTATTTTTAACTAATAATAATTTTTTCATCCTTTTAATTATCTTATGTATACAATTTTTTTATCTCTATAATTATTTTTTGTATTTTTTTGCCCTTAAATTATTTTATAAAATTTTTTCCATCCTTATAATTTATTTTCAATTTCATATGTCTAATTTTTATATTTATTTATTATTTATTTTACGTTCAAATTTTTTTTCTAAATTTTTTATTAACTTCATTATAAAGTGCAAAAAACTATTGTCGTAAAATATATATGAAGGCGAATTTTACGATCGCAATTTTAAGAGAGCGCTCATATATATATTGCATGTTTTGGTTTTAAAAGTTATTAAGGGTGTTGTGTGTAGCTGAAAAGAAGTTAAAAACCATAGGAGCCCCTATTATTTTTACTTCCCCTTTTCTAAAATAATGTTACTATACATCTGTCAATATAAATACAATTCTTTTATTATATATGAATTTGAAAAGTTCTCGATATATATATTTTCCCACAATTTCCTAACAATTATTATATTGATATCGGATGTCGCGCTTTTAGCTTTTGTTCCGCATACTTTTTTTGTTGACTAGAAATTTCCATTGTTTAGGAATCATTTACTATCATTATATATTTTTAATTATTATCTATGGACTAATAATTATATATTATTAGTATTATGAATATTATTTTTATTATTAATATTAATGTTAATAATAATTTTAACAGAATTAATAATAATTAATAATAAGATTAACAACATTAATAAATGTCGATAATAATATTAACAATATTAATAAATTTTATAATAATACTAGGTAATATTTTTATTATTATTATAATTATTATTATTGCAATCATTAATTATTATTGTGTTATTGATACTTGCCGAGTTTCGAACCCTTGCTATCCGGATAGCAGTCGTGCGCCTTTACCGCGCGGCCATTGTCACTGTCTATTTATTATTTTTATTTTTATACATTTCAAATTTTTTTTTGATATATTGCTAATACTAATAAAAATTAATTAAATTGATCGCTCATTTTCACAATTTCTTAATTATTAACAATTAATATTATTAGGTACTATTATTATCATAATTTTGTATTATTATTACTATTTTTATTTTATTTTTTTATTTTATTTATTTAAAAAAAAAAAATTTTATAAAATTTTTACGGGCAGTGCCCGTAAAATTATTTTTTAATTATTTAAAAATAAAATTATTAAATTTTTATAAATTATAAAATTATTCTTTAATTCAATTATATTGCCGATACTAAATTATCAATATTTGATAATACACGGTAATTATATCGTATTTTTGGAATAGTAACGGTACATTAAATTTAATCAAGAGATATTTTAGCAACACTTGACTTTAACCGGTTGAAAAATAAAGGGCGAAACAGGTGCCAAATGATGGCACTGCTCTTGATTACAAGGCTTGTTTCCGGTCAATTATTATGAGGGCGAACAGGCTCTTTGGCGTTGTTGGATTATGAGTTCAAATAACTTAAAAGAGCCGACTGACCAGAAAAAGTAAGCGTGATAATTTTAGAAAAAAAATATTTCCTTCACACTGATCGTTAGGAGGAAAGAATATTGGTAAACTAATTTAGAACTTAATATTTATTAGGTAACAATATCCACGTGAAAGGGTTACCGATAATCTCCGCAGAAATTTCGTATATGTATATAACAGAAAAAAAGTATTCAATAGCGTGAAAGTTTATAAATTATCTATATAATAAATATTTATTTCTATTTAAATTTAAATTATATCTCGATAATAATAAATAATACATATTTATTTATTTTATTAAAATTCAAATTAAATTTAGTTTAATTTGCATCTAAATTTTTTTCTTGTCAATAAATATTTACTTTTCTGATTTCAGGTTTGCAGCCTTCAAATAGTGATTGCCCTCGGTAGTGTCGTGTCGGTTTTCGGAAAAAACACCGCAAATTTCACGTGAGTAAATATTTATTAAAAGATAATTATAATAATTACTATTTATAAATAGTTTTCACTGACAATTATTGTTTAAAATTTGTTTTAAAAATTTTATGAATTGAGAGTGTTTATTATTAATGTTTTATTAACAATTAGTAAAATATTATTAATAATTTATAATTATTATTTAATGAGTAACTTAATATACAATAATTATTATTATTTATTAATTAAATTTGTTATTACTTCCTCATAGAGGAAGTATTTTATTTGATATTTTATAAATATTTATATAAATATCAGATGTTATTAACATTTTATAAATATTTTACTTAAATTCAAATAAATTATAATTGATAATAATAATTATTGTCATGAATAAGGCCTCTTAAAGATTAATTTGAAAAAATTAATTAAACAATCATTATTATTGTTAATTAGAAATAATTCAAAGAACTAAAACTCTTGGACTTTTTTTATTTCGTTTTGCCACAAAAGGAACCATTTTTTATTAATTTTAAATCAATTGGTTTTTAATGAAATTTTTTTTTCTTTAATCAACTTACTAAATATCGTTTAATTTGAAAAACGTTTATTGAACACTGATTATGTAGAAAACGGTAGAAATATCCTTCAGATGGTAAAGAAATCATTTACCATCATTCTCCTCAGCGACTGAGGATAAAGTTACCGACTGCTATATTTTTAAGTTGCGTGGTAGGAATTCTAGAGGTCGCGTAAATAGAAAGGACGAAATATCCTTATCATCCTGATGAAAGATTTCAAAAAATAAAATTCCTATAAAAATTTGTTGCTTTTTTGAAAACAATTAAGATAAATTGGGTTCAGAAAAAATAATTATTACATAACCAAAAAATTCAAATGTGATAAAGTTCTTCGCATAAATTCAATTATGCTCAAAAATTTTTAAAAATTCCTGTCAAAATTTCAATTATCTTTATAAATAATAAAATTCTTCTCCGAAATTCAATTATTTTCAAAAAAATTAATAAAATTCTTGTCAAAATTTCAATTATTTTTAATATCTACTATTTTAATATAATTTTCCAAAAGAATTCAATTATTTAAATAAAATTTTAATAAAAGTTTCACAGGAATTCAATTACTTACCAATTTTTTATAATTTTCTTCGAACCAGTTCAATTATTTTTAATTTCTTAATGAAGTTTCTCGAATAAATTCAAATATATTCAGAGAATTGAAAAAAATAGTTCTGAGAAATTCAATTATTTCGAAAAATTTAAATAAAATTCTTTTAAAAATTCTATTATTTAAAAAAATGTTGAAAACATTATTTACAAGATTTAGTTAATAAGATTGCAATTTTAATCAGATTTTTCTATAAAATTCAATTATTTTTAATACAATTCTTCTTGAAAATTCAATTATTTAAAAAAATTGAAATAAAGTTCTTTGCAAGAAATTAATTATTTTCATAAATAATAAAATTTTTCTCGAGAATTAAATTATTTAAAAAAATTTTGATAAAATGCTTTATATAAATTTGAAAAATTATAATAAAATTGATCATAGAATAATACAATTATTTTCGTAAAATATAACATTCTTCCTAGGAGTACAATTATTGTCAAAAATGTTTGTAAAATTCTTCCCAAGAATTTTAATTCTCTTCAAAAATAAACATTTACAAAGGAATTCAATTATTAAAATTTTTTTTTAAATTTTTTGTCAGATTTCAATTATTTTCAATTTTCTAATAAAATTTCTGGATTGAATTTAATTATTTTCAAAAAGTTTTAAAAACTTCTGAGAAATTCAATTATTTTAAAAAATTTGAATAAAATTCTTCACAAGAAATTCATTATTTTTATAAATAGTAATATTTTTCTCCAGAATTCAATTATTTTCACAAATAAATTTTTTCTCAGGAATTGAATTTTTAATAAAATTTTTAATAAAATTTGTTGCAAGAATTCAATTATTTTTTTATGTTAAATTTATTTTAAAACATGAAGAAATGGATCATTCCGAGTCGAAGACTCGGAGTGATCGACTTTTTCGTGTTTTATAATAATATTTCCATAAGTTATTGAATTTAAAAAGGTTTGAATTTGAAAACCTTAATTCCTATAGAACAGTAATAATGATTAAATATTTATTTAAAAAAAGATGTTATTAATTTTTTTGAGTATCTAATAATTTTTTGGACATTTTTGTAACAACCCTGATCAAGAAATCAGAGATTGAAGAAAATCAAATGAAATAGGTCTGCGAATAAAAATCTCAAAGAACAAAAATAAGGAGAAAAATTTTAATAATTACAATAATTAAAATCACTGAAGAAGTATTAAGCATTTTTTTTTATTAACGAGGAAAAAAAATGTTAAAATAAATATGTAAATGAAACTTTCTTTTCCTCATTGATTACCTATGGGGGTGGAGGGGGGGTGGGTGGATTTCAAATAAAATTAATAACATTTAAAGCACAATTTACTGATCTGATCATCATTTAATTACACTTTAATTAAGTCGACAAAAATAAAATAAACCTGATATTCCGAATGACCACAGGTTGCAAATAAAATACTCATTTAAAAGCAATTTCAATGTAATTTATTTTTTTTCCATGTCGATCTTGTTTTTATAAATATATATATGTATAGAAGTTTTATGATTCAAAAACCGTTATCCGTTATTATATTCTCTCGTACTCCTACATAAAATTAGTGAATTCACTTTAATGAGAATTATGAATACCACAGAGGGTTATTTTGCAGGTTTCGCATATGAAAAGAATTTTTGTGGTTTTCTTCACTTTTATAACTCGCAAATAAAAAAATTGATATTTTTTTGCGGAAGAGCTTTCTTATGTAATTTTATTATTAAGGTCCACGCGGGAACCATCTGCTATACGGTGATGCTTTAAAAATGAAACCCCAATATTTGCGCGAAAATTATTTTACAAATTATTGTTACAGTTACTTTTTTTCGAATGTCGGTATACTTGCGGATAAAAAATTTATTTCATTCGAAGTTAATTCTTTTTGTTTCATTTGAAATTAATTACTTTTTTTTAATTGTAACATTTATTTGGCTTTATTTAAATTCGTTTCTGTTTTATTAAAAGTCGTTTTATTTTAATTCGTTTTCGTTTTATTTTCGTTTTATTTGCAAAAATAGTTATTTTCGTTTTATTTAAAATGAACCGATTTTGTTATATTTAAAAATTAATTAATTTTCCTCTCATAAATTTCAATTCAATTAATTGACTTTAAATTACGTTTAATTAATTGTATTTCACTTAAAATTAATTGATTTTGTTTAATATTAACGTGTAATTTCGTTTGATTTTAATTTTTTTATAAACTTATAGTTGACTTGGTTTTATTAAAAATCTATTTCGCCTTATTTTTAAACGTCATTAACTTTATTTCATTTAAATTGAATTAATTCCAAAGTTGATTAAAAATAAAAATTTTAAATATTCAATTTGGAAAAAATATTTTATTTAATTGCATATTTAATCAAATTTTATTTTAATTGAAAATTGCAATCGATTTTTATGTAATGTATAGAGTTAAGGATAATTTAAAAAAAAAATTTTTTATTGAATCTTTTTTGATAATAAATTATACATATATATAGGTATATAGCTATATATATGTGACGCATGTGTAAATGTAAGGACGCGTGATCGGCTCGAGAGAGACACGTGGGGAGAATCAGGTCCCGAAAGGATTCGAGAATAATCGAATTCAACCGAAGAGAAAACGCGTGCCACGCGTGAGTTCTCTCTATATGCGAAAAGTGGGGGACAAAGAAAAAGAGAGATAAAAGAAAGTGCCGTGAAGTAAAGGAGAAACGATTTTCAGCCTAGAGAGCTGCTGCTCTCTCACTGGAGACTGCTGAAACTTTTCGTCTTCCTTCTCTTCCCTTTACTTTTATGGTTCGTTTCCAGACTAAGAAAATTTGAAATTAAATAAAATTTAATTAATTAAACTTGCTCTTTATATTTTTATTAAAAAAAAATATTCAAAATTGATTACTTCCCGAAATCTGAATTAGTGCAAATCTATGACAATAATTTCTTTTTAAATAACTTAATTAAATATTAAATAACTTAATTCTTAAAGTACTATCATAAAATTATTATTTATAAATTATTTAATGAATAATTTTACTTAAAAATTTCCAAATTAATTGGTTTTCAAAAGAGTTGCGTTTACAATCTTCATAAATAGATGAACTTCAAAGGTTTCACTTTGAAACTTTAAGAACTTTAATTATTTTCAAAAGTGATAAACTGCTTCGCATAAATTCAATTATGTTCAAAAATTTAAAAAAATTCTAGTCAAAATTTCAATTATCTTTAAAAATAAAAAAATTCTTCTACAAAATTCAATTATTTTCAAAAAATTTAATAAAATTCTTGTCAAAATTTCAATTATTTTCAAAAATTTTTCTTATTTCAATTATTTTTAATATCTACTATTTTAATATAATTTTCCAAAAAAATTCAATAATTATTTAAACAAAATTTTAATAAAAGTTTCACACGAATTCAATTACTTACCAATTTTTTATCAATTTCTTCAAACCAATTCAATTATTTTTAATTTTTTAACGAAATTTCTCAAAAGAATTCAAATATATTCAAATATATTCAGAGAATTGAAAAAAATAGTTCTGAGAAATTCAATTATTTCGAAAAATTTAAATAAAATTCTTTTAAAAATTCTATTATTTAAAAAAATGTTGACAAAATTCTTTACAAGATTTAGTTAATAAAATTGCAATTTTAATAAAATTTTCCTACAGAATTAAATTATTTTTGATTTTTGATTATTCTTCTTAAGAATTCAATTATTTAAAAAAATTGAAATAAAGTTCTTCGCAAGAAATCAATTATTTTCAAAAATAATAAAATTTTTCTCGAGAATTCAATATTATTTCAAAAAATTTTGATAAAATGATTTATATAAATTTGAAAAATTATAATAAAATTGATCATAGAAAAATACAATTATTTTCGTA